GGAGACAAAATCCAGCCACAACTCCTACCACACCTCCAGCCAGGGGCAGGGGTTCGAGCTGAGGCTCTACCAGCCCTCCCGGGTGGCTCTGCGGGGGCTGGCCTCCCACGAGGGCAGCAGGAGGCTGCTGGAGGAACGCTCCTTCGCCCAGCTCCACAAGTCTCTCCTCTTCAACCTCAGCGGGGTGGCGAAGGACTGGAGAACCTCCAGCAGGAACCCGGGCTTGGTGCTGGAGATCTCGGTGCGTGGCGGCGAGGGGGGTGCAGCCCTGGCCGCGGGGGGGCTGCAGGGCCTCTGCACCAGCATCGACTCCTTCCTGGACACCTCGCTGCTGGTGGTGACCCTCAGCCCGGAGCAGTGCAAGGCTTCCAGGAGGAGGAGGAGGAGGAGGAGCTCCCTCTGCAAGCCCCGCAGGCTTTACATCAGCTTCAGCGACGTGGGCTGGGAGAACTGGATCATCGCCCCCCAGGGCTACCTGGCCAATTACTGCCTGGGGGAGTGCCCCTTTCCCCTGACAGCCGAGCTCAACAGCACCAACCACGCCATCCTCCAGACCATGGTGCACTCCCTGGACCCCGAGGGGACCCCCCAGCCCTGCTGTGTCCCCGTCAGGCTCTCCCCCATCTCCATCCTCTACTACGACAACAACGACAACGTGGTGCTGCGGCACTACGAGGACATGGTGGTGGAGGAGGGTGGCTGCAGGTAGCGGGGGCTGAGGGGCAGGGGCTGGGGGGGCTGCTGGAATAAACCCGGGTGTGTTGGGGCCCCTCTGTGCTGCTGTTCAGGGGGTTTCCCAGGGTGGGTGCTCAGCCCTCCCAGCAGGCTGGGGTTATGATCGATGCTGGGTGTCTGTCCCGCTCTCCACGGGTGACAGTGGCACCAGGTTGTGAATCCCAGACCCCTCTCGTGCTTGGCTGAGCTGCTGCTGGGGCTTTTCAGCTTTTTTTGGCTAAATGCTGCAGCCTTCTCAGTGCAAAAAAAACAGAGACGCCTTTTCTTTTCTTGGTGCCGTGGTGCAGGGTTGGGCTGTGCCAGGAGGTGCCCGGGGAGGGCTGGTGCCATGGCATGAGCTGCACCCCCCGTGGCTCCGTGTTCCTGCCACGGGCCAGCCCGAGGGTGCAGGAGCTCAGCCCTGAGCTGGGCTCGTCCTGTGCTGGGTGATGGGACTGGGGGATGCGGCTCAGAGCTCCCGGGTGGCCAAACGCAGCCCCCAGGAGCTGTGGCCAAGGGGCAAGCTGCTGCCTTGTGGTGGTTTGAGGTTGAGTTGGGGGCGTGGTGTTCCCTCCCACCATGCTGAGTCAGTAATTAATGTACCTCATTTGCAAATTGATGAGGGCGAGGTGAGGGAGTGTGTCCTGGCTGACGGACCAGCCTGACCCGGGGCTGGAGCCAGAGGGCAGCCGAGGCTGGGGCCAGAGGGCAGCCGAGCACCAGGCAGCAGCAGCTCAGCAGGCAGAGCCCTGAGGCACCGGGCACCGCGCTCCCACAGCCCTGTACTTTAGTGGTTTTCTTTTGGTTTTGGTTTAATTTGTTGGTTTTTTTTTTCTGGTGGCTGTGGTACTTCCCCTGTCTGTGGAACATTGCTACCCCCGGGCAGGGCCCCAGCTTGGCACCATCTCACCCGAGCAACAGTGATCACTGATGGAGGAGTTGCTGCTTTCCTTCCACCTTCCAGCTCACGGGCTGTGACCTCGCAGAGCAGCTCGAGGTGCAAAACCCGGGCGAGGCTGCTGCGAAGGGTGTTGAGCAGCCAGCACGCCTGCGGGGGGGACCTGGGGCTGTGCTTCGGCACCAGCCCTGCCCCCTGCTGCTTCCCGGAGCTCAGCTTTGCTTTTTTTAGGGGGGGGTTAATGGGGGAAACAGAAAAGGAATCTGAGTTAGACTTGAATTATTTTCTTTTTAAAAATGTGAAGCTGATAACGTAGCCTCGATTGTTTTTGTTGTTTTTGTAGCGCTGTTGTGTTGTCTCAAGGTCTGATGAAATTTTCCCAAGCTAAGCTGGGCCCTCTCCCTCCAGGGAGGCACTAAAGGTTTAACCACTGCTGGTGTCCCTGTCCCCTGGGATGGGGTTTTCTCTGAGCACCCCCCTGGAGCTGGGGCTGCAGCCCAGGGCTGGAGGAGCTCGAGTACTGTAGCTGTGTCCTGTACTAACCCCTCCCCAGCCCCGTGTGCCCCAGAGCCCCAGGGGCTGTGCTGCTTTGCTCCAGCAGGTGAACAAGAGCTGTGCTGAAACCCACATCAAGCACTTAAATGTTTTAAGGGCTTAGAGTAGGATTTACTAAAGCACGTTGCTTTCCCATTTAAGATGGGCAGGAGTAAGATAAACCTTGTAAGTATTAGGGTTTTGGTACCTGTGCTGTGGCAGACTATGGGTGTGAAGGGCTCAGGCTCCTCTAACTCCTTTCCTGGTTCCCCAACACACTGGAGGAGCTGCAGTGAGGGTGGTGGCAAGACCAGGCCTAAACATTAAACACCAGAGCTGCATTTCAGCAGAGACTGAGCCACTCCTGGCTGTCCCAGGCCCAGAGCCAGGCCGAGCTCTGCTGAGCCACCACCTGCAACACAGGTAAAAGCCATTTCCACCTTTCCTGCAGCGCAGGGGAAGCAGGAGGGAGAGGGTCCAGGCAGGACTGGTCACCCCCTGCACCCCAAACCCCCACCCCGGGGCTGGTGACAGGCCCCCTGAGCCAGAGGAGGGAAGAGGGACAGGGCATTTAACTGTGTTTTCACCCTTCATCTGCTTACCCCTGTATGCTATGCACACACCACACTTTTGTACTAGTCTGTGTTTAAGAAAAAAAAGTAATAAACTTGAAGTTTATACAATCAGACTAAGTTTTAATGAATGTTGCATGGTTTCAGCATTGAAACTTAGGGGCCACCTTGAATGCAAGAGCTGTTTATTAATATTTTATTGATGACATAGGTTTAAAACAAACTGAGACAAAAAAAATCAAAGAAGAGTTAACACCGTGCTAGCACTGATGTCTGGATTTATAAAACTCAAGAGTAACTGCTACAAAGGAAAAAACCAGCACAAAGCAGAGGCAAGCATTCCCGTGGGTGAAATCAGAGGGGGCGTGGGGAGAGCAGGGGTTACATTACTCAATGGATTTGCATTGCACAGAGGGTTACAGCTTAAACCTATCGGAAAAATCTATGCAACTACGCAGCCTACAGAAGGAAAAAAATTAAAAAGCCCTTCGGCAATGTTAATAAATAAAACAGTCCATCTTACAAGGAAGGAAGGTGGCCTGTGTCTCCATTCTTTCACATTTTAGAAGTCTAAACTCTGGAGGCTTTTTATGAGAAAAGAATGGTTTGGTTGTTGGTTTTTTTTTCATTTCTGGAAAGTTTCTTTTTGCAGCTCTGGAACCAGGTTCGCTGCAGGACTGAACACAAATGAAGGCCTGTTCCGTGTGGGTGTGCACACTACTCACAGCCTGTGGGTGCTACACCAGGTCTGCACTGGGGGAGAGACACTCCTGAAAAACTACAGCAGATACAGGTTATGAAAGCGGGTCGACGATCTACAGGAAGGACAGTAATGAAAGGGCTTCCCCCCAGTTACAAAATGGGGGGTTTACGTCATTGAAGTACATTCATCTGAGAGGTATTTTGAGTTCCCCCCCAAAAAAAAAAAAACTAGAAACACTTGGAGCCCTTTTGAGTATAAAGCTAACTGAATTCAGACTTTAAAAACGCCGAGGTTAGTGAATCTCACTCTACTGTTCTTGGCCAATTAGGAGGTAGAGGTTAGTCTAATTTAGGGATGTGGTAAAAATGGGTCTGTAGGAATTTTCAGTTCTCTGCGCCGTTTCTAAAAAGGTTTAGACAGAAATAAAATGCTCCCAGTGTTCCCATATGACTTAAGACATGGGTACAACTTAGAAATTGGATGGCTTCTCTTACGTGCTGCTCTCAGTCCTGACTCCCAGCTGTTTCTCCAGCCAGCACTGACGGCACGGCCGTGGCCTGGAGTCGGCTCCGGGTTTGGTTCTCACCCCTGAATCCTTCAGCTCTCTGCCTTAGTCACCGAAGAAGCCACGCCAAAGCCTAACCCATTATCTCTAATTACACCCAGCTACCAGAGGCCACCTTCCAACAACTGCCTGCTTTGTCCATTTTTCCAACCTGCTTCAGTAACATTGTAGAGTCTTTACTTCAAAACCAATATAATCCCCAGTTTCCACTACTTCTTCCCCAGATCTGAGGGAGGAGTAAAGCAGGCCCCTTAGCATCTTCTCCTCCAGGGCCGAAGGGCACAGGAACCCATCCCCTTTCAAGCGCAAAGTTCATCTTACAGAAAGGCTTGTTTTTCACAGAGTAGAGTCCAGACAGTAGCCAATTAAAGCATACAGAAAACACTTTGAAACCCTCCTGCTCGAGCGCGCAGGCTCCTCTCGCTCTAACTGCTATCCGATGTAGGAAGAAGAGGCTGATTGCTGCAACTTTAAATCACACTGAAAGTTCTCAAGGTTGGTGCTCTAATTTAGTTTTAAACTTTTTGTAAGCTTCTCAGAACAAGGATCTCCCAGGTCCACCACTAAGAATTCAGAGACAAACTTCAAAAAATTCAGTGCCCCTTTGAAAGAATCTCTTTAAAACCACCTTGTCACGAAAGACCCGTTCAGAATGTGGGCGACACGATGACACTAGGATTTCAGAGCCAGTGTTGGACAACAAAACCTGCATCTCAGAGTTGAGCATCAGCTACGTTCTGCTGGATCTCTGCTTGGCTCGCTGTCACTGAGGAACTCTTCCCTCTCTCTCTCTCTCTCAGATACTCTGCTTCTAAAATGTAAACAGTTACTGCTAAAATATAGTACCCCTTTAAAACGAGAACAACTCTGAGATGAGGGTTTTCCTCTCCCCATCTGCTCTGAAAAGCAATGCCCTGCTCGCAAAGAGAAGTATGGAATGAAGTGAAACCTGCTTAAGGTCCTTCTCTCGAGCGTGTTGGACTGGGGGAGCAGGGACTCAGCTGAGCACTCATGCCAGGGGGGGTGCCCTCCCCGTGAGGTGCCAGCCAGTCCTTCAGTGCGCTCTCTCCTCTCTGGTCAGTCTCCTGGTCTCAGTGAGCTAGCAGTGGGCTCTCTCGCGCGCTCCTTTCTCTCTCTCTCTCCTCTCCGTTGGTTGGTTTCTTTCTCCTGTTGCTCTCACACAGTGGTGCTTCAGTTTTAGCAGTGGAAAACAGGTATCCATTTTATTTTATTTTTTTTATTACCCAGAATAAAATGCTGATGAACTAAGCTCCACACAAGCTTAGCTCTTCTTCCTCAACCTGGAAGGGAGAGAGCAGAACAGGCTGGGTTAGGGGGGGGTCACTCCTCTCAAACGCAGCGTTCGGGAGCGTGGCAGGGGGAGGAAGCAGAGGGGTGACCCCCCAGTGGGGTGCCTTACACTCTAATACTGTGACAGTCCCGTCACTCCACCTTGTTGATATGCACGTTCACCCTGGTAAGTAGAGTCCTGTGACAGCGCCACGTCAATCTGAGATTTAAACTCATCACCAAGGTAACTGTCCTGAAAACGAAAGCGTGCGTTAAACCTCCAGCTGGAGTGCTCCCTCTCACCACAGAGCAGCCAGCATCAGCCACAAACTCTGGGGGGTTTTGTTGGAGATTTTTTTTTAGTTTGGTTGTGGGTTTCTTAGGATCTATTCTTTTTACTGCCTAATTTCCACAAATACAAAGCCTTTGGTGATATCTGGCTGTTGAACAGGCCAAGAAGTTCAAAGTTAAGGCTTGAGTTGAAGTCTACATGCAGCATTTAATTTTTATTTATACATTTCACTCAGTCCACCAAGAAGATGAGTATAAATAATGTGGCTGAGTCATTCAAAATGGTTTTAGTTTCCACCCTCCTCAGTTCTAGGAAACAAGGATGTGTGTGCACCCAGATCACCGACACAAAACCCAAGGAAAAGAGCAGACTGTCCATCCAACTCTGCTTACCTGGGATAATTCTGGTTGGGAGAGCCCAGGCTGACTCATCTGTGATGGCTGACTCATGGAGATATACCCCTGAGTCAGTGGACCCTGGGAGAAAGGCTGGGACACCACGTCTTGGCTCGCTTGACTATTTGGAAGGTTTGACTGACTAGTTCCAGGAATCCCAAACCGATTTTTCTGGCGCCCGCCACGACCAGTCTTCCCTTTCGGTGCCCCACGTCCTGGAAAAGTGTGGATCCCAACCAACAGTCAGAAGCCATACACAAACAGGGGAGAATTAACTCATTCTACACAGACCTGACCTCTCCTCAGAGGCCACGTTCTATATGAACTCAACGTAGCAGGGAACTCAAGAGGCAGAACCCCCAGTGTAGGTGGTGTTGTGTTTATACTCCAGACAGTTGGGCTCTGGAGCACATCTGCTGTCATCTGCACTGCTCCCAGAGCAGCCAAACTCATTCTCAGACCTAAAGGGTGGCTCTGGCACCACCTCACCCTCGCCCCATACCTGCAGCTGGTCCGTTTGCCTGGCCAAAGTACCCTGGTGGTGGCATGGGTGGCATCACCAGGTTGAAAGGGATGGGAATGTTCATGGCAGTGACGTGGCTGGGGCCGGCACTGATCATCCCGATCTGGTCGTGGGTCTGGAAGTACATGTTGGATGGGCGGCCTGGGGAGGGGAGGAAAAGCCACAGTGAGCTCAGGCATCCAAAAGGTTCACACATGGATTCATATTCCTGCTTTCACCAGTAAGGGGAGGACTTGTGAGCAAGATAAATCAGCACCAGAAATTCTCAGGATAACCCTGTCACTGCCAAGAACCACCAGTCTTTCTAGCTCACTGTTTACCCCACACTTGGAAATTCCAGAGACTCACCTCACATGTGTTCATCCCTACACAGTTACTCCTTCACAGCACCATCTCAGATTCCTGAAACACTTCTCACACACACACACTCCCTGTCCCCTCCTCCTTCACTTGCTCTGCAGACACCAAATTAGACTGCAGGGCCTTCTATATACAGAAAGCAAAATTCAGGCACACCATGAACACCTTCAGTTCTTAAATTCCCTATTTGTCTGTAGTGGCACTTCAAACACATAAAACTGTAAAAAAATCTGTAAGATGCCACAGCTCAAAGACTAGCTGGGGCAAACAAAATCAATCTAGTTCTGACAGCTCCTTTTACCTTGGCTGCTCCGGTCATAGACAGATCCTGGAATAATGGCCTCACGTGCATCATACATGGCAGTTGTCATGAAACGGGCACCCTGGAAGCAACACAGGGGTTAGACAAAGGCTTTGCATAGAGAACTCTGCACTGCAACTTCAGTGCAAGTTGTTCTGGGGTAAATACCCATCAGAACTCCACAGAGCATGGATATTTCACAAGTGCTGAGGACACTAACCCCTGCAAAATATCCAACTGTCATTTCAACTACATCAGGACAAGAAATAAGATTCTATAGGCAGCCTGTCTGATAATGTGAAACACCTGATGAGTTTTCTATTTTGAGGTTCTGATGACAGTTTTTCCCTTGCCCTATTCCTACCACTGTCCCTCTGACAAGCTTCCCCCCAAATACTACTTATGTTGAAGGCCTAACTATGAAACCTGGGGGTTGAGGATTAAAGTACGATGCTATCAAGTACAGATGCCTGCTGAGCTTGCCATTTCTACACAAACCAGTTACCTTTCATTCTCCTCAGAAGTTCCCCATCATAAAATTTTGCAGTAGAGCAATGAAAAAAGCACCAAAAAGGCTTTTCCAGAGCTTCTAAAGTTTCTGCTTCACTTTGGAACAGCAGAAGCAGGAAGGTGACTGTCACACTGGACTAACCAGGCAACAAAAACGGAAAGTTCAGGGGGTGTGAGGCTATGTGGGTGATTGTTTGTTCCATCCATTTACAGCAGATCAATTGACCCCCAACTGCTTCACACCACAACTGTCTGAGGGCCAGGAGAGGTCAGCTTACTGGGTTGATGGTATTGACCAGCTTCCGGGGCTTGCTGAACTGCATGAGGCTCTCCCGGAGGTTATTCAGTGGTCCCTCCACCAGAACCTTCTGCTCCTTGTAGTAATTCAGCAGGTGATTCCAAAGTGGTTGTTTAGACAGAGCTTTTGGGTTCCCAACAATAATTACTCCGTATCTGGACAACAGCAGAGAAACTGCAATTAACTTGGGACTGAAAATGAAGCCATGTTACAGATTAATGCCAAAAGAGCCTCAAAATCATCTCTTTCACAGCAAATTGAGGCCCCTGGCAGAGGCCACAGTGGTAGGTGTAGGAGACCCTGATGCAATTGTCTTGCTTACAGCAGAGGATTTCTGTAGCATGACCAAACACTGGAAAGGAGACTGCTGCAGCCAGTTTCTCCATTATCACAAACTTCCTTTTGCAGCCTTGCTAAACTCAGTGTCCTCAACCAGCCACCACAGCATACTGGTTGGAAAGCCAACCAACATAGTGTTGATTCCACTTTACCCTTCTCAGTATTAAAATCCACTAAGAGAAGCAGAAGGGTAAAAAATAAAGTTCTCTTGGAGGGACACAGAAGCAGATGAAGGGAAGAATTCTGTCCTGAAAATGAAGGGGAACAACGTGGCAGCTTCAACAGTGGTGACACCAATTGAGATTGTTCCTGAGATCTGTAGGGAATGTGGAAATCATTCCAGACTCCCCAAAATCACATAGGGAACATGCCTGCTACTCACAAACCACAGACCTTGTTAGCTGGATTGCACTGATGCTTTAGCAGATTGAATTAGGTCTCCAGACTAAAGATTTGCCCAGTTTTACTCTACCTTGCTCTTGTGAGAGCGACGTTAAGACGCCTGGGGTCATTCAGAAATCCTATCCCTTGGTGTTCGTTGGCCCTCACACAAGAAAGGATAATGAAGTCCTTCTCTCTGCCCTGGAAGGCATCCACACTTGCAATTTCCACTTCCTGAAAGAGAGGAACACACGTAAATCACGGAAGCAGAGTGCAAAACAGTTATGCTACCAGCAGGCATTGCAAAACACACTGGCTGTGGAGGAGCAGCTTCCATCATTGGACAAAAATGTTATTTTTGTAATGATGAAGGATTTAGTAATTCCACTGGTTGCTACACAGTTTCCCTGAAGAAGAACAGACAGTCTTGGTTTAGGACAAATTACTTTTATGTTCGCTGCTTTCTGGTTCTCACATTTCCCCCATGGCATTTGCTCTATGGAAATTTGCTCTATCCCTTTTTTAGGTATGCTGTCAAAAAAACTTCTGGTTGTTCCAAAACCTTGTAGTAAGGCAGGTCCAAATGAGCACTGCTGCTCCCAGCTACTGAGAAACCTGAATCAGAGGGACAGATCATTCCTGGCAGAAGTTAGAGTATTTCCACCAAGTTTTCTTTCAGTGAAACCACTGACCAAGTTCTCAGTATTGCAAAACAAGAGTATAGTGCACATACAACCCCTCTTGTTTGGAGCTACAAATTTTAGCATTTGGTAGAGGAGTTCCACCAATGGGAGGATCTCTTCCCAAGCAAGTAAATAGTATGACCAGCAGAATTTATGGAGCTTGGGCTCCTGTGTGTCTCCTGGCACAATGAGTTTATCTAGTAAGGCACAAGCTGTCTGAAGCTTTTCCAAAGCTGACCTCTCCCTTCTGTGAGTCCTCAGAGGATGGACTCTTTGAAGACTCCTTTCCACAGACCTTAACAAGGCTCTCTCCTTTATCTGGCCAACTGCTCCCCTGACACTTGCTGGCATTTGAATCCTCCAAAACTCCTCTCCCTCGTCTATTTTCATCACTCAAACCTTAAAGAACTCAAAAATGCCTGAAGAGTAAACAGACTGACATCCAAGAAGCCAGACCAAGAATGAAAATACTGTGAAGTTCCACAATATGACTTTTCCAGCCTCTCTGCATCCAAGTGTTCCCATTCATGCACAGTCCCCATACCTGGTAGAGCTTTGTATGCAGGGAACCACTGAACTGCATGTACTGCACCAGGTAGGATCTCTGACCTTCGTAAGGAGTAATGATGCCAATCTGATCTGGTTTGGCACCAGCCTTCAATAGCTTTGTTGTTATCTTCTCCACATTGGCAGCTTCCGTCCTAGAAAGAGAGGTTTGTTTATTTTAAAATTTCTCCCTACATATACCTGCACCCTCTCAGAACTAAACTACACCTCCTGGAACAGCAGGATTCATGGTGGCCATTGCTCCAAAATGGATCTTCTTAGTAGAGTTAAACATACACATGTACTGTTATAAGATTAAAAAATGTTCCAGCCAGCCATGCAAACAGATCCTTCAGTTGTTTTCTCCTAAAGTTTTAAATATAGAATGTTTTTAATGCCAGTCTGTCAGCCAGTGATTGTACCACTTTTTTGTGCACAATCTGGCTTGTTGCATTCAGTCTTGCACATGCTGTTCATGAAACAGGCTGAGATTAAAAATACCACAGCAGGTATTTTTCCTAACTTGCTCTGGCTTCCCTTCCAGGCACATACAACCAGGAGGAGCAGTGCTTAAAGCTCACTCCTTGAAAAAGAAGTTGAATGTGCAGAAAAGAGAGACAGAAAAAAGAAAATTAAATTCCCACTCCCTTCACACCCCCACCAAAACCTGAGGCTCTGGACTCTGCTTCAGGAGCTATTGGAATTCTGACTCGATCAGCATTTCCTGCTGCCACTCTGGTCAGTTCACTGGCTGGCCCAAATTCATCCCACATATTAGGTATTTGTCTCTCACTCCTACTACCAGTGATGGAAACACACCCCATAACAACTCAAACCCATTTAAGATCTGAACTGCTCCCACTGGAGATGCCTTTTTCTCTTTGTTTACTATAAAGGGAGCCTAGGGCACATCCTGAAATGCAGCTCAGCCTGCACCACCCTTGATAGCAGCTTTTATTAGAAAAGGCACACAAGCAGGTTCAATCATAGCTGTTAAAAGCAAACAACTTCTAGTTAATTTACAACTGCTGCAGAACATAAAGAATCAATAGCACTGGAGGTCTGTGTCCCAGCACACTTGAGGTCTGTGGGTTAGCTCATTTCAAGTGCAGACACCATCCCCCAGAGAAAACAGCTCTTCTTCAAAAACAAAGCTTTTATTTAGCTGTTCCACCTTTGTTCACATAGCATGGCACCAAAAGTCACAGTGACTGGAGGACACTATGAATTTTGTTGCAGAGATTCTGAAGGGTAGAGAAACGTTCCAATACGTGGTCTGCAGCAGGAACTGAGTTACTGCACTTCCCCTTGACCTCATTGATTGTGACTGACCCCAAGGGATGTCACAGGATTAACAACACTAATTTAATAATCTCCCTTACATTTGAGATCCTTAAAATACTTCGTCCCAGTGTAAATTTTTAGCTCAGTGTTGAATTTTGTTTACCTGTTTAAGTAGGAGGTGCCCGAGCTGGCGATTTCTTCTTGTCCTTGTGTAACATAGAAAAACATTGGCTTATCTGGCTGTGGCCACTGGAAATCAAACCCTTTTTTCACACGGTCAGCTGAAGAGCACAAAAAACCAGCAGAATCAAAAAAAGTGAGCACAAACTAACAAGAACACTCACTGTCATATCCAAGCACCTTAAAGACTCAAAACTCAGCGTAGTGGCAATTCTCTTTTTAAGCGAATGCATTAAAAACTCATCTAGATTCAAGAATCCTTTGACTCTCAGCTCTTGCTCACCTGCAGTGACACCATTCTGGAGGGAGCCCTCGTAGAAGATGTTGGAGGGGAAAGCACTGAGGGCGGGGTGCATGCGGTACTGCACCTGCAGGCGGATGGGGCGGATCCCCAGCACCACCAGCCTCTCGAAGAGCGACTGCGACAGCCCGGCCTTGGCAGCCTTCTTACACATCACAACGGGGCCAAGCTGGCAGTGGTCACCCACAAGGATAAGCTGTGGGAAAGAAAAAAGGGTTTAGAGAGTTTTTGTTTTCTGAAGTTTGCTCAATAGCTACGAACAGCAATATCCTACTGTAAAATGTGTTAGGAGCTAATCAGGCTGACTCGTGGTAAGCTTCAGATCTAATCTAAGGCTTATAAACCTTTAGGGTCAACTTGCTTTTCAGCTGATCATTTCTCATGAAATCTTATTCAGTTCCAGACTATTCCAAAAGGACCAACATGGTCTAGGCAAAGATTGTCAGAAATGGAAAACTAACTGGACTAAGACAAAATAGTAATTTAGATGAATATTATGGAAGTATCTTTCATGGAAGGAAAGGATTTTGTATCCCTACATGCCCACACTGCCAATATTACTGCTTGATGCTACTCCTTCTGTTAATAAACTACCTCTTTAATGACAGAGCCCTGGGGCTGTTCAGCTGGAGCAGAGAAGCCTCAGAGGGGATCTGAGCAGTGCTGAGCAAGAGCTAAAGGGCCCCCAGGGAGCAAGAGGCTGGGGCCAGACTCTGGTCAGTGGTGCCCTGTGACAGGACAAGGGGCAACGGGCACCAACTGGAACCCAGGAGGTTCTGTCTGACCAGGAGGAGAAACATCTTTGCTGTGAGGGTGGCCAAGCCTGGAGCAGGCTGCCCAGAGAGGCTGTGGAGTCTCCTGCTCTGGAGAGACTCCAAACCTGCCTGGATCCCATCCTGGGCACCCTGCTAGAGCAGGGGGTTTGGATGGGATGATCTCCAGAGGTCCCTCCCAACCCCACCGTGCTGGGACTGTGTGATTTTACCAAGTCCAAAGGCTCCTACCTGCTTTGCCCCCAGGACGACTGGCACCATGCACTCGGGCTCCGTGGCCTGGGTGCTCTCATCGATCAGAATGGAGCGGAACTGCATCTTGGCAAGTCTTGGATCCCCAGCTCCCACACAAGTGCAGCAGATCACATCCGCGTTCTGAGACAGAAACGCAACCGGGATCAGTCATGGGCTTATCAACAGACAGTATTGCTGTGTGGAAAACTACCCAATACCCCTCTGGAAATGCCCCCAGAAGTTAAAGTGTACTCTGAACTCCATCAGTAAAGGGTAACTAAGCCTCAGGTGGGAGAGGGCAGCTGTGGAAGCTGCTGGACCTGATGGGACGTACCATCAGTAGTTCACGCTCTGCCGTCCGCTTCAGCGCACGGTAACGCTTCTCATCAGCAGATGACAGTTCTCCAGTCTCATCTTTAAGCTGCTGCAGTTTCTGCAGCTCTGGCATGCTGAAGAAAAAACGGAATTCTGCTTTACAGCCTAATTAATGACTTGGTAGGATTACAGTAAAACTCATTTGTGCAATTATGTATGTACAGACACTTGTACGGAACAAAACAGTTATCAAATTAAGCACATACACACCATCATCATTACACAGTTAATTAGTTGTGTCCATCACAACATGTCAGTTGGGTTTTTTTTATCATTCCCCTGCCCCCTCAACTGTTTCTTACCTGTCCATGTTTCTGATCTGGTTATGCAATGCCAAGAAGGATACAGGAGAGTCAATGGCCTCACGACTTTTAGCACACAGGCGAACCACCTTCAGTCCAGTTTGATGGATCTTCTCAGTCAGCTGATCTACAGCTATATTGCTTGGAGCACAGACTAACACAGGCCTTGAAAGCAAAAAGTCAGTCTCAATGAGCTGTAAACTTTTTATCCACTAGACTTTTAAAAAAATCATCTGTTATAAATCATGTCCCCTAAAAAAATAGGCTGGAGAAGAGTATTCTCTGAAATTAGCACAAGTCTTCCCAGAAAAATATACTTCTGAAAAGTCCTTTTGATTCAAGGATATGAATGATTTCATCTTTTAAAATCAAGTTGATTCTCTGTTAATAAAGTAACCTCAGATGAAGATTTAGAGAGAACAGTCTTACCCATTGCCCTGTCTAGCCAGATGATAGACGATTGTGGCTGATGTCACTGTCTTCCCAGTGCCAGGAGGACCCTGAATAAGGCTCAGAGGACGCTGCAGGACAGTCTTCACAGCATAAACCTATAAAAAAAAACCAGTGGGTTTATTGCTGTTTAGCATTTGACACTTAGGAGGTTCCAATTTTGTTCGACCTCTATGCATAAATCCTCTCTCACACTTTGTGTGCAGTAAGGATGAGGTTACCTGAGAATGGTTGAGATCAGGAAGTCCTTGTGCTGTAAAGCGCTTTGGCAACTGGCATTTAATAATGACATCTTCTACCTCGTGACCTAAGAGTTTGTGATAGATGTACCCAGACACTGAAGTCTCATCCACAGCAAATGTTATTAAAGCACTCTGCATTCTGAAACAAGGGAAGGAGAGGAAAAAAAAGAAATCATCAGTTTGACCTGACCAAGCTACAAGTTGTCCTAGACAAAGATTCACCAAACAGATTATAACATCCTGGGGAAAGATTTACATACATTGTTTCCTAACAGAATTAAGAGGCAAACATTAAGACTCTGAGAACCCAGAGCTTGGTCTTCCCCATGTGAATATTATAAAGAAAAAAAATCAGTAGAGAAACACCAACCTTTTACAGAAGCTACAATAGTAATTTTAGGTGTAAGATTTGAAGAAATTTGTACTCAGTACATCTCTTTGAGGATAATGAACAAAATCCTTTCTTAGAACATGCAGTACAGACATGTCTGAAGCCTACTGGCCTCACAGTAGATTCAAACACCTTGAAATTCCAGCTAAAGGGATTCAAAACTTAGGAATACCAACTAAAATTCACAATGTTCAGGAAACTAAACTACTATGCTGGTTTCAGCTGGGATAGGGCTAATTTTCTTCCTAGTAACTGCTTCAGTGCTGTGCTCTGAATGTTAAAGTTTCTTATATAAAATTCTCCCTCAGATGCATTTGCAACAAGCCTTAAGCTTGCTTTCAAAATGAGGAAAAAATAAGTTTGATGGCATTCAGATTAATTCCATTTGTAGTGAAAATGAGGCCTGTTGTTTTATGAAGGAGGAATTATTTGGTCATAGACTTGATACATCAGGCACACTGAGATCTCCATTTGCTAGTGTCAGGGAACAACACATTTTCTTCAAAAATTCCCAAGGAAGGGAAAGGAAAATACATTCTGACTGCACCCACTATCTGCCAGTTTTGAAGTGCTTTTCAGTACCTGTCAAATGAAGTAGACTTCCATACAAAATCCACTTGGAAGTTATGAGTGACCTCCACAGGTGCTCCAACGCTGCTCCTCAGCTCAATGGCTATCTCATCACCATAATCTGTAGAACCTCGTTAAGTAGTAATCTATAGCAAAAATTTGAATTTTATTTTTCCCCCATTTTCTTTTTTTTAGCAGCTCCCCACGACGAATTGAAATTATCTCTTAATTACTTTTGTACACATTTACTGCTGTCTCAGAGAGGCTTCCAGCTTCGATGCAGCCTCCTGAAGGCTCTCTAAGTAAAGGATACTATCAGGAACTTTGATAACATGACCAATTCCTTTCCATAAAGGGGCCAGGTCTCCTTTATACCTCAAGCAGATCTCATCTCCTTGCATAAGACGCATATCTACAACGGAAGGAAAAAAATGCTCTCAGTGTTCACCACCAACCAACCATCCCCCAGCAGAAATCAGAGTTTATCTTGTATCCCAGGCCACAGCTCATGACAGTTCTTTAAACACTGATGTTATTCACCAGGCATAAAAAAGTAAAGACAAAACATAGAATCAAGCTGTCCTTACCCGAATCAGTCTTTGGCAAAGTGAAGTAAGCAATTCTTTTCTTGTTCAAGCCCAGGTCCCATCTGACTGTGATGTTATCTTGGGTCTAATGGTAAAGAAAAAGGCACCTGTTATGTTCTTAAAGAGATGTTTGCCAACTACCACAGTCCTCACTGTTCTACATTTCAAAATAGCAGAGAAATACAAAACTTGCTGGTCTAGTGTCACAGTAGAGACAAGTATCTGTATTTATAGACTGAGTTCAAACCATCTGCAAGAAAATAGTTCTGTCCTACAACAGAGTTGATGAGAAGCAAAGTCCTAATCACCACCTGTGTTATTCTCTCCCCTCCACCTTTAAAACATTCACTAAGCACTTGCACGACCTCGTAACTCAAGTTTGGCTGGAAACTCACACAAAGGTACCTGCAGGCTGTGAGGAAAACAAGAGAAGAGAAGGCAGCCAAGGTGCACTGTGCTACTATAGAATATGGTTCTTGGAGGGAAACTCTGAACACACAAACCAAAGCTCCCCAGTGTTTCAAGCTGTTTTTTAAAACCCCATTTTGAAGGATTTTTCTTTCCTTTCTCTGCTATCAAACATTACTATTAATACTATAATTGCTGTGATGTATGAGAACTGTACTAAAGACATTTACTTCATTTGAGCCTTCCTTCTATGCTGTTAGCAGCAACTATGTGTTTGAGGGGGCTTCTGCCCAGTTCTCTGGTGTCAAACAGGAGTATTTCAAGCCCATTACCTGAGACTCCTTCAGTTTCTTGTCATAGTCTGCCTCAAGCTTGACTAGAGGACCAAATATATTTTGGTATTGATAAGCATCTTCATATCTAAGCAGGACATGCTGTGGTTCTTCATCAACACCAGGCTTTTCTAAGTCCTCAAGGGTTGCAGATGGATTTTCCTAGAATTTAAAGCACAAATGTTTTAAGTACAAACAAATGACAAGCTCTCACTGTGCAACAGGGCTGATAATATCCTGTTTTACTACTCCAGAAAGTTAGAAAGGTATAATAACCTGTTAAAACTCCACCAAGACCTTTTAAGCCATCCTCAGTCACACCAGCCAGGTTTATTAGGCTTTAAAGGATGTACAGAAAAGCCTTCCAAAAGCAGCAACTGCATAGCAAGTGTGGACTAACAGCTCCCTACTCAGCCAGTGATCAGAAAGCAGAAACAAGTGAAAAACTCAATATGGGAAGGAAACTTGTTTCTTCATCTTGCCTGACAGTGCAAACTGAATAAGAGCTGAAGAACTCAAGGGTAAAACTTTCCCACTTTGATATATCATCTCCTGATTTTTTTTCATCCATTCCCAGTTGCACTGCTTGTCAAATCTGCAGCCTTTAAACCTCATGTGACAAGTATGTGCCCTGCCTTATACAGCTCCTACACCAGCTGCTTCATAAAAGCTCAAAACTAGTGCTTGGTAAAACACAACCAGGATTTGAAAAGCAGCACATACCTTCCACAGTTCTTCCAGTTTGTTGATCTGTTGAGCTGTAATCTGACGGGCTCTCAGCTGCTCCTGTTCAGATGGGATCTTCACCAGCCACGAAAGGAAGCAGCGATCCTGGATGAGAGGCTGCCACTGTGAACTGTCCCAATTAATATCCTTTAAACTGCTCTGGCTGGCACATGGCTGCCTGCACAACCAAAACATTGGAAAAATTATTAAATTAGACAAGTGTAAGAAAAAGTCTATTGTGTGAAGTGCAAAAATAGGTTGATGGTGTTTCTTAAAACAACTCAAGTATCTCAGTTAAAAGGAAAGAACAAAACGAGCCAATCCTGCTGGGCCAATTCATTTTTTAGTTCCTATATTTGCTATTTCAACACTGAGACCCCTTGGTATTGGAACTAGCATTTCTTGGGTGTTTCTAGACCTGAAAAATTCAGCATCTAAAGTATTAAATAACATACTCACCTTTGAAAGTGGTTACAGTCCACTAAGACTACACACACATCAGAAAACACTCAGGATTACTTCCTACCTGTCATTTAAACTAGAACTTATTCCAGAGAAAAACACCTTATATTATAAAATACATGGTGACACCATTTAATTAAAAAATATACCATTAAAAAAATGATTTCTGATAGAATCTGTGAGAGAACAATCTCAAATGTAGTCTTGTGTTCAAATGACTAAGAGCTGACAGAGAAACACCCTGTGTAATGGAGTCACTACTCCAACAGGGCTCCAGAGTAACTTCCTGAGCTGATCTGTTAACTCTTCCAAACCTGAAAAAAATCAGTTTAAGAAGGGGAAAACCCACCTTACTTCCATTAAGGGCTGTTTCATCTGTGAAAAATGCTTTTCTGTATAACTAAGACATTTATTCAGCATAATGGAACATTCCTTTATCATGTTATCTACTTAGTGTAGACTTCATGAAGCCTATACAACCACCCAAAGGAAAAAGTGGCAAATTAAGAGTATATGGGTAGAAAATGAAAGCCCTTTAGAAACAAGGTTATGCAATAACTTGCCACAAACATGCCAAAGGCATTCTCTCACCTGCACAGCAAAACAACCACGGAGTCTGCCTTAGCTGGGATAAAGCCAAGGAGAAACACATTACGACATCCACAGTTATAGCACTCCAAGACAGTCTCTCCTAGAGGTCCATCCTTGTGGAGAGTCACCTCTTTGCACTTCGCTCTCACAAGATGATTAACAATGTGGCTGGAAACAGAGAAGACACATTTATATAAATTGAACAGGAAAAGAAAAAAAAAATCACATTTATTCCTAACTTAATAGATCAGAGCTCAGTTATTAAAAGACAGAAAATCCATTTACACTGTAGCAGACAGGGGCAAGATCTCACTCTCTCCAGCCAAGCAAAGGCACTGCTAACACACTTTCAGTCATTTCTCAGTACATGAATGCTTTAAAGTAGATGAGTGTAAAAGAATGTTTTACAAGCTTCCTATTCTTTTTATGTTAGCAGTAATTGAAAGAAGCTGCCCAAAGCTCCAAGGGTCAAGAACATGAGTTCTCCTGTGCTTTGCAGGAGCACAGGAGGGGGCAACAAGCAGCAAAGTCACTTCAGAGAAATTACTCAAGTCTTGCTGAGATCCAGCTCCAAGTTGCTAATAGTGGAAAAGCTAAAGGAGGTTGGAGGCTCACATTTAAGTCACCAGGCTTCAATCATCACCAAAATGTAAGTCACAGTGGTATCATTTCGAAACAAACACTCTAAAACAAGACTGCCATTGCTGTTTCCACCATCTGACTGCTTACCTGCCAGACGTGTTCCCACGCCCGTTACAGAACCACTTCTTGCTGGTGTTGCAGTAAACCACACAGGCAGGGTCATGGATACCACAGTAGCTGGAATGAAAAATGCAGAAACAGGAAGCAGTTGGGTACTTGCTTCTAGCAACATTCCAATACAAGATTTAAACTACTGAGTGGTGTTCAAAAGTAAAGGGAAGTGAAAGTTGGGAACGCGAGCGCTGGTGAGAGCATCGCACAAGCTCCACTCGTGAGTCACAAGCAGTGTGACACTTGCCACCATCACCCTTCCCCCTGGTGTGGCTCAGCCTCCTGCTCCCCAGGGAGGTGAAAGCCCTGCTGGCCACCACAGCTGCCCTGTGTACACACAGGGGCTCACCACAGGGCACCACTCCCCTGCCAGTGACTGGATGTCTCCAAGGAAGTTGCCCTCAAAGCCCCCACATCCTCTGAGCACACACCTCTCACTCACACAAAGTGCTCCTGGCCTCTGGAAGTAACAAACCTGGCAGAGATCAGGTCTCACCTGCAAGCATGCACAGGGAGATCCTTTGTGTAATAGGTATCTTCTTCATCCTCTTCAAAGTTCAGCTCTGCCAGAAGCTGGCTGGTTTTAGCCACATTATCATCCACAGCTCCATTCTGCAGGATGCCATCAGGGCCATTAACCTGAAATACAAGGTCAGTGCTTAAGTTATACAATCCAAACAGACTCCAAAACATGGAGCTGAGGACAGTAATCCCTGCTGCTCAGAGCAGAAACTTGTGTTTAATTTAGAAAAGCTCAAAAGGAAAGAGCAATTCTGGTAAGAGCTGAAACACACACCAGTTATATAATCAATATATTCATTAGCTCCAATTTTACAGGATTATTTAAACTCCAGCTGATAAGGAGAAAGAAGTTAACAAAAGGGGATTGCTTTTTCTGCAGATTATATTTCTCTATGCAGTCTTACACAACACCCAAAATTCCACTTAAACAGCAGTTTCAAAACAGCAGTATCAAACATTTTTACATCCCTTGTTTTATCTACCTGAAAACAAGATCTTCAGTGCATAGGACATTCCCCATCTCCTCCTGCTGTTCTCTATCCACCCAAACAATTCTCTTTGCCCCAAGAGGTATCAGAACCATGACTTCAGGACACTTGGACAATAGAGAGCAGGTAAGCAAGAAGCCTGTCCTCATATAAGCCTCATTAAAAATATATTGAAAAAGTGCAAGAAATAAGTGAAACTGGTTTTCAGCAGTTTCCAGCTCCCCAGGCAGTATCACTTGTTCAGGATCCATTAACTTTATTACACACTGAATCAAACAAGCTTGCAAATTACACCAGGAATGACAGTTGCTGTTGTGTTACTTTGAATTTGTTTTAGCTAGAACACCATTTCCATTAAAAAAAAAAAAATGAGGCCTCCAGAAATTAGCTGAGAATACTGCAGAAGTGCATCAGAACTAGTAACAGCTCCAATTTTCAGGGCACTTCAACTCTGCTGACTCCATCACTGGATTTTTGGACCTGTTTAACCAAGATCTCACTAAAACCTGAGAAGAGACAATCCACCTTGAGTGGACAGTGACTGCAAGGACCAGCACAACATCAGCAAAGCCTCTGGGATGAGGGCTGTGAGGCAGCACCCCTCTCCAAAGCAAAATCAGACATATTAAAACCCCCAACTGTTTCTAAAAGTATTAGGTTAGACAAGATGATCCGAGTATTTATTTCTGAAAATTTTAACTAGCTAATAAATGTCAGCATAAGAATCACTCCAGTCCTGTCTGTCAGCAGGGTATTTTAGTCACTTTTTTGCACTTAAGCATTCAATGCAATTTTTCTGGCATCTGTAACTTAATTCTCTGACAAGAGACAAGAAAGCTGCCTGCAGTGAGAGGAATGCTAAATCTTCATTAAAAGAAATTTAATAAAAGTAGTTGCTGTAGCATTTTAAAGCTATAACTCATAAGCAAATCAAAACAAGCTTACTTCTCTGAAAGGCTCCTTTAGATTCCACACAAGCCAGTTTCAGTGTGGCACATTAAGATTTAACAGCCAATTGCAAGAGTGAAATTTAAAAGTAAGTGTCAACCACTTCACACTTGCCCTCAGCAGCAAGGAACTGAGACTGCACAAGCTTTGTTTCATTATCTTCAAATGAAATGAGGGGTGTTTGCAAAACAGTCTAAACAGTGAAACTTCTTATCGTTGTGACCTCCAAGCACTGGCTGTTAATAGAAAGATCAGCCATGAGGAACCATCAACACAGGACGTGCAAAAGAAACAGAGGAAAACAACAAAAAAAACACCACAAAAAGTTGCAGCAGCATGAAACAAACCCTTAGTGGGATGACCCAAATCCCACCAGCTCCCTGTGTAATGGCATCTCCACAGAGCTCTGAAGATAAATGCCCGTTTGAAATAGCTCGTGCCATGTTACAAGGTGTGAAGATAACTTATTGACCACCCGTGGAACAGGTGGAATGCCAAAGCCTTGAGTTCACCTGCATCTCTCTGAAGCAGAGTATCAGGCATTCACAAGTGAACTGCCATCAGCCAGAGCCACAACACATTCTTGCACACACCAGTCACCAAGTTCAACCAGTATTTTTTGGGTGCTCATAAAAAACCTGCACTGCTGAGCACTAATACAACTGTAAAACTTTTTAAAGGTGGTAAGCCAAGAAACTACAACTGCAAGGTGTTAGTCCTGCAGCAGGTGACCGTGGGGAGCTACACCCAGGGGAGCTCCTGGCCTCTCCAGGAGGCAGGCAGGAGTGATGTCACCTGTTACCATGAAGAGCCAGCAGCGAGCACCGGGCCTTGGCAGGCACACGGCGAGGAAGTGACTCAACTATTGTTCTGAACCCTCCTGTGATGTTAGCCTATGTGCATATGATTAAAAACCTGGCACCAGCAAGTGTTGTATAAGAGAGGGAGGGGGCTTCTCTCCTCTGGAAGCACTAACTGAAACTTCTGGCACAGCAAGTTTAACAGCCACGTGAACGCCGAGGTGCTCGGCACTGCCACCGAGGCACCAGTCCTGCCCCTGGCCCCCAAAATCCTGCTTGGGAGACACAGCCAAGGGCCAGGGAACCACGTCACAGAAAAGCAGATGATGAAATTGGTCATGGCTTCTACTGACTGCGAGTCCCCACAGCAGTTCTGGTACTATCCCAGAAGGACCATCTCAGTTTCTCCAGTGCCTCTGGCTAACACACCCAGCCCGTCAGCAGCCGATGCCCAGGGGAGGGCAGCCACAGCCACAGCCACCTGACCTGCTTCTGCTCTGAAGTGGCACCTTTCAAGCTGGAACAAGAAAACCAACTGCAGCCCAGCAGGTATTTTGCTGGAGGAGCACTCCTCTGACAACCCTGCAGTCCCACCAGCCCTGGCAGTGCACTCCAAAGCTGGGGGACACCCACTCACACTGCCCCAACTCCTCACTTCCCCTCAGGCTCTAGAAAAAACACACACTTCTGGCCTTGCACAGATCACCCAGCTATTTGTTTGTAGATTCTTTACATTAAAACTTCAGGCTCCTTAACACATTATAATCTCTTATACAGACTTGCTTTTCCTTTCAAAGGAAGGAAGGGGATTTTAGTGAGCACATTCAGCCCCACAGTGGTGTGAATTAAGCTGTATTTCCAGATGGGGACCTGAGCAACCAGGAGTAAGTCATTTTGCCAAGACAAAAAGTCTTTGTTAGAACTGGAAATTAAAGCCAGCCCCCATAGTCTAGACCAAAAAAATCCAAGAGCTAACCCAGCCTCCTTCCAGCACTCCAACACATTAACACCATGTGCCTTGTCCATCACAGACTCCTTGAGCATGTGACTGCATCAAACTGAGTCCCTTGCCTGGAAGAGTGGAAAAAAATAAGGCAGGAATAATAGTTTATCTTAAAATACTCAGAAAAATCTACTCCTGTGTTTGATTTTAATTATGTTAACAATGGAAATAGTTTTCTAAAGAGAAACAAGCAGATGTTGCTTCTGCACTACTAACTGCTTACGATCTTCTGTCAATTGGACACTAATCACTTTTAACAACATAAACTATTAAATATACAGTGGGAAAAAGCAGCTCTACCAGACTGCTGAAAGCAACTTCATTTTCTTCAGAAATCCAGGGCTCTGTATTGCTCAACCCACCTTTTCAAACACCAGGACACTGAAGAGGTACCAGAATATGGAGCAGCAGAGTAAAAGTCTCTGGTTCCAATGTTTGTCAGCTTCAAGGGAAGATTATTTATTCAAGTAACTTTAATTATCATCACAGGGACAACATTTAATTAAGCAAAATGCATGTGATAATTTTAGGGCCTTAGAAATTATTATTTAGTACATCCCCTGCCAAAAGACATAAGGAGTTTAATTATTTGTTGAAGGCAGCAGAATTTTCCCCAGAATCATCCAAAACAGCCTCATTTCTGATCTTATCACTGGCAGGACTGTTGAAGTGTACAAGTCTGAACAGCTTCAGGGATCTGGGCTTTGCTGCAGCTTCAGCTCAGGAGGACACTACTCTCAGTACACTCCCAAGAGTTCTTGTTGCAAGAGGTCCATTCCTCCCCCAAAATCCTCCATTTCTGGAGTCAGGATGACCACAGGAGTTTGCAGAAACATTATCAGTGGGCTAGGTTTAAAAAACCCAAACGCTTCCTTCTTGCCAGGACAGATGTTATAGACACACTAGGACCTGAATGTCTTCTCTAGATATTTTTTTTTTCTTTCTACTTCAAAGGCTTTTCAAACATGTTTAGACAAAAAAAAAGGCAAACTAATCCTCTCATCTGGTCTTTTAGCTTATGAGGCTTATTTTGGGGTGGTTTTTCTTCTTTTTCTGGCCTCCTATTCTCTACTGTGACTTCTGGAATGATCACTAAAACTTTAAAAACTAAGTAAGATGATATTAAAACTGTCTTTTTAATCTGTGTACAGTCTGATTGTACACAGACAAGACTTTATTACTAATACTTAATAATTCTGATATCTCAATGCCCCGACTGGATATCAAGTCAACAAAACCAAACCCAAATGCTGTAAGCAAAGAGAAAATAAACAGCCCACGGGGTCACGTCTCTAATTCTGTCTCAAGCACAGGAACCTGGAGCAAGTCACCACACAGTGGCTGCATGCCCAGCACTCCCATCCCCTTCCTGCTGGGAATCATCCAGTTCCTCCTGGGACAAGACAACACCACCCCCAGCACTGACCACACACCTGGAGAGGCTCAGGGACTGGTTCCAGTTTGCTCACCCCTGCCCCCACAGCTCTATCATTTACAGACCCTCATGCATCAGGTTTTGCATGTAAAAGGAAAAAAATCAAGCCCACTCAAGCTACGTTTAGTAGAGACATTAAAAACTTACCTAAAGCATTTCAACACCTCTTTAAACTCATCCTTTAAGACATAGATAACATACAACCATTTATCTGTTAAAAACGGGACTACTCAGGTATTTCTATAGATGTAGTGAAAGTTGGCAAAACATCCCATAATCTTTAAACAGAAAAAAGTCTGACTTTCTAAAAACCACAGAAGAGTTCTTCAGGGTTTTTGGTTTTACTACCAACACAGTTATGATGCAGCACAGTGACAGGTATCTTCCTTAAGAAGGCTTCTTGTGAGCACATAACCCCACTTCCTCCTTCACTTTTACTTTTG